ACCAAGCATGTAGTAGATTTTATTAAGCATAACTTTGGTTCTAAGTATTCCACCCTCATTCTTGTAATACCTTTAGTTAAAAACAATTATACAAGAGCAAATACAAAAAATATTAAATTATGAAAACAAATCCATTAAGGCTCCCTTTTTATATTTATATATATATTTATATATGTACACTCAAACAAGTGCAGATATTAACAGAAGGTTAAAGCCACAAAAATGCTAAAAAATTTCCTACTATACTATCAAAAGCAAGAGTTTTTAAAAAAGTACAAAGTGGTAAGTGAGCCATTTTCAAATCACTGAAGTATTTGCCAGACTGCTTCAAAACCCATCTAGCCAAAGGGCAGACCAGGAATTGCTTATGCTTACTGGCAAGCAGTTTCTTACTGGAGTAGCCTCACAGGACACTTGTGGTGTTACTAGCTGGTCACCCATTGAAGGGTTGCCCATTCTAGCCCAATCCTGACTTGAAAGACAAGCTTTTGCCTGTCAAATTGACATGAAGGTGGCTTGGATTCCTAGACTAAAGCATCAGTAGAATTCAAAGATGTTCTAACACACACATTGATGTTCTGTTCACACAGAATGAATTCCAACTGAAAACAAAAAACTGCTTCATGCTGTATGTACAAGGGATTTTTCTGGCCTCCTGTGAAAAAGAAACTCTACCCTGAATCACAAGCTAACATGGAGAGAAAGCAGAATGCCTTCAGCCTTGAAGGGCCCAATCCATCACACTCACTGAAGACAAAGAGTGGTCCTCATCCCCCACAAACTCCAGTTCCATCTGGATTACACCAATTTTACTTTCCATTTCTTATTAACTATAGTATTACCTAGAAAGATTGGACCAGATGATCCTTGAGGTCCCTACCAACCTGGCATTCTATGATTCGCTATGCATGTGTGGAAGGATTGCCATGCTCACTGAGGGGAAATGGCTGAGAAGGAATTGTCTGCTCAACCCAGGGGAGGGTTTCCTCACCAAATTCTAGACATTTCCATACTGAGCAGGTTAACTGTGGAGTGGAAACCAAGAGGCAGGAAATTTGGTGGGCTGGGAGCCACTAAGATAGAACATGAGTGTGGCGTGGAAGGCTTGTATCTAGTGCTGTCTCAACACCATGAAACAAACTCAGACAGTGCAAGTGCTCGAATTATGTGCTGCCAGAAAGGAAGATCTCCTTCCAGAAGAAGGGAAGGAGAGAGGGAAGAACCTGTAGCACTCAGGGTGTTCCTTTGTTGAGAAAATACATGGAAGAGTCTTACATTTGGCTTTTGTCTGTAGCATGTCCATAATCTGAACAGTCTGGGAGGCCATCTTCACATTTAATCTTCTAGACATGAGTCACACTGCAAGTATAAATCAATAGCAATACACTTCTCGCAATTCAATTTACTCTCAATCTGATTATGTCCTCATAAAAGTGCCCGGATCTTGACAAACTGAAGCCTGTATCTAGGAAACATTTCTAAATGTGAGCATTTTGTCCCAAGCACTATGCTGAAATTGTATTTCCAATACTTACAGGAAAGGCAAAAGGAAGTAAAAAACCCCAACAAACCCTCCCCCACCACCTTACAATTCAAACACACCACTGTCCATATTAATAAAAAGTATTCTCAAACAGTTATGTCCAAAGTAATTACAAAGCAGAAATTATTTTGTTTAGCATCCTAAGGCAAAGACTAGGGTTAGATTCTCAGCTGATACAGATAAACACTGCTTCAGTGAGAGCTAGAACTGTGCCAACCAAGGAGGATGAGGATTTCTCCCCAGCTTTGGAAGGCAAGATATCTGCACCCATTCACACCAAGTCAGAATCCAAATCTAGAATCCTACATGAGTAATCTGTTCCCCTCTCCTCATCCCAGGCTTTCCTGGATAAGTAGTAGTCATAAGCATGAAGGACCAAATTCTGCCATCCCTGTGCAAGCTGAGCATATTTTATTTAATGGCAAGTCATTGGAGCAACTTCTGGAAAGGCAGAATGTGACAGAGCTGGACCCTAAGACTCAGTGGTAACACACCTCCTTCCTTTCTTGAGGCTAAAGGAAGGATGGGACAAAATTTAACTTCATTTTATGCCTCACTTTAGCAAAAAAAACAAATGCATTTCAGTAGATTAGAATGATCAGTTTGGTCTGGCTTAAACACTGCAACAAGTTCCTGCAAGAAAAGAGCAGGAACTGATGGCTGATCAGACTCCTGATTTCAGTCCCAGCAAATGAGTTTAAACACTACCAAGCAATGTGTTAACACTACACTCAGATGAGCATGTCCTTGGAGGAAAAAGGCCACAACAGCAAAGTAAGTAGGACTTCAAAAGACAAAAAGTAGAAGACAAGTAATTTTGCATTGAGGAGTAGATTCACAGGTAGCACTGCACAGGCCTGTACACAACAGTGGAAGTTCAAACAGAGATAAATCAGCTTTTTGACTCTCCCTGGTGAGAGGGTCATCAGATTTCTACTCTTTCCATAGCCCAAATTCTACATGCCAGACAGGCAGAACTGGGCTTTAAGGCTGCTTAACTGTTCACTGCTGGTGAAATTTAAGCATTTTCAGTTTGCCCACACCTGCCTACCCTAGTGGGGATGGGCAGCAGTGACCAACAAAGCTTGTATCCTCCCAGATTTGATAAAAATCTCAACATTAATTATTGTAGGATATACACAGGCTGTAGGTCTAGATGGAGAAAATGTACCTGCACAGCAAAGCTTCATAAGAAAGCACAGGAGGATTTTTGTTCTGGTTTAAAGCAAAATATAATCTGTGTATCTCCACTAAACTAGGATCACAAGAGAGAAAGCAGTGCAACACTGAAGGAGTTTCTCTAGTATCCCTGGTTAAAATCTCTGAGTAAGCATGTCAAACTGGTCCATGACACTGAACTGACAAACAGACTCCTTAGCCATTGATCTCAGGACTGCATTTGGCAAGTCGATCACTTTATGGTACTGTCTTTTTAATCCACACGTCCCAGGAGTTAAAAATGTCATCTTCAGTAAGTGTCAGCTGGATGCTGCTATCTTTCCTCTTGAGGGACAAATCTGAGACAACTTGCAAAAGCCTCTCTCTGCAAGAAAGCTGGGAGTCTTAGCAGGCACTGGCTCTAGGAGTCTGGTGCTTCTGTTGTTTCCTGGACCGTCCTCCTCAAGTTGCCCTTGACTTTGACAAATTCGGGTGCATTTTCCTGTTCTTCCTGTATCTTCTGTTGCTCCAGCTCCAGCTTAAAAGGGAATAACACATTTTAAAAAGTCTATGAAACAGTTTATCAAAATACAAGGCAAAACAACTAAAGGTTTCAATAACTGGGCATGCAAATCTCTTTAAGCAATTTCCTTTCTTTCTCTGGTGAAAAAGATAAAGTTGCATTTCTTTGAGAGTATTTGTTCCCATAAACAATACACCTTTTCAAATCCTTGCCTCTAGCTTGTTCCACACATCCACTTTTGCCAGATGGACAAAAACTCTGCTAGCCCAGCACAAGAACAATATGAAACATCTTTGTAGAAATTCTTGGACATCTTCATAAAAGGAACAAAACTATTTCCCTTCTCTGGCTTTTACAACAGGACGAGGACGAATGTGCCCTGTGGGAGCACACATGCAAACTACTGAGCACACTTACAGAATTCATTTCTGAGTGTCTGGGCATGGATTATTGCAAAGAACTTGAGCAGCTTTTGGTGTATATGTTTTGTCTATGGGGGGGAGTGGGGGGTGGGAAATCTTCCTTCGCTCTTATTTGGTAATTTTTTGACAGCCCATTCACTTGACACATTTCACAGAATCATGGAATGGTTTGGGTTGGAAGTCACCTTAAAGATCATCAGGTTCCAACTCCCCTGTACCAGCAGGGACATATCACACTAGACCAGGTTGCTCCAAAACCCATCCAACCTGCCACTGAACACTTCCAGAAAGGAGGCAGCCACAAATTCCCTGGGCAACCTGTGCCAGTGTCTCAGCACCCTCACTACTAAAGAATTTCTTCCTAATGTCTAATCTAAATTTCCCCTCTTCCAGCTTAAAACCATTACCTCTCATCCAATCACTCCATTCCCTTGTAAAAAGTCCCTCCCCAGCTTTCCTCTAGCCCCTTCAGATACTGGAAGGCCACTATAAGGTCTCCTTGGAGCATTTTCTTCTCCAGATTGAACAACCCCAACTCTCTCAGCCTATCTCCACAGCAGAGATGCTCCAGCCCTGTGACCATCTTTGTGGCCTCCTCTGGACTTGCTCCAAGAGCTTCACGTCCTTCCTGTTTTGGGAGCTCCAGAACTGGACACAATGCTCCAGGTGGGGTCTCACAGAGTGGAGAAGATTTTTAACCCAGTACATATATTTACATTGTTCTTATATATATTATATATTATTTTATTTGTTGTACATTATTCATAATTAATTTTTAAACCCAGGATATTTAACCCAGATGGAGCTTCTGCCCATGAAGACACTCAGAATTACCACGTGAGGTTTGATCTCTGCTCCAGGGAACAAGGCTCTGCAGTGCCCATCCAGCACATGGGTCATACATTGCTCAGGACACAGATTGCTTAGGAGTCCCCAGTGAAGGCAGGTAAGCCAGCAGAAAGGAAGAAACAATACTTCAGGAAACTAAGAAAAGCTCCTGAAATGAGCTGTTTTGTTTTTTTTTTTTTAAACAGATCAAGGTCTCCCTGATTAATGGGGGACCATGTATGGCTCTCCTAAATAACTACTCCTTTGTCTCTGGATCACTGGCATGCCTTGTTACAGTAAAATCATGACAACATTCCTCCAGGAGTCATGTTGTCAATTCATGCCATCCTATGAGGTTTACAGAGTCAAAACATTGTTTATGATGGGCAGGCTTTTCCTCTTCTAACAGATTTTTCTATTCTACATACAACCCTGTATGGCTCAGTGTTCAATAACATCTTCCCACAAGCTGAACCATTTGAAGCTAGGCCCTTAAGAGCAGAAAGGAAAAGTGACAGGATTATACAGTTAGAAATAAAACTGCTTTCTCCCTCCAAAAATATTTCTAAGCCTAATAAAAACCAAACAAACCTATAATATCCCTCCCAAAACCTAGATTATTATTGCATATACCTCATTTTCAATAGAGTAGTTATTTGGCTTAACTGATTTCCATTGAGAAAAAAAAAAGGAAATTCTAATTTTAAAGCATTCATTTATTTAAGAAAAAAACCACAATGCTTGATGCACAGTGACTTGTTTGATGAGGTGCTTAACTACAGAAGTGCCTTAAGAGGCACAGAGAAATTTGCTTGGCCCTGTGCCTAGCAGTAAGCTTCACCACAATAAACTCCAACTCCACATCACCTCCATGCTCAGGGTCTGAGGATCCTTCCTTCACTTGAAAACATCAACAGGTCCCTAAGTTTTAAGGCTACACAAGATCTTTTTTAAGTCACCTAGTTGCTTACATAACCCAGAAGAAAGAATCAATTGATTTTTTTTTATTCATTAAGCATCTAGTTTTGGCGTACTGCAGTCCAGCCATTCTTAGTGGATCATCTTTTAATAGTTCAACTAAAGAAACTGACAAATTCACCACAGTTTCAATGGTTAAATACGGTCAATGCTCCACACACATTCCTGTTTTTGCCCAAAGGCAGGCACCACAAACAGTTCCTCTACAGTAAATGACAACAAACACATAATTGTAGAGTGTGATTTAACTCATCCTAAAAAAGACACCTGCATTTGATCAGATGAAATGCGCCAAAAAAACCATCTGCTGTTCTTTCCTGTCTACAAAGGGAGCCTCAGGTGAGTAGCTCAGATGTAGATGTGTAAAGGTGTTATTCCCCATCATACCTGCTCCAGCTTCTGCTGCCGTTTCAGTAGCTCTATTTCCAGGTCTGATTTCTTCTTTTGTGCTTCCTCTTCTTTTTGTTGTTTAATTACTTGATCTCGTTTCCTTTTCTCCATCACCTTCTGTAGCTCTGGTTTGTTCTGAGGTGCAAGACCCCTTTTAAATTAAATGGGAGAAGGGGGGGGGGGGGGGAACAGGGGAGAAAGAGATCAATTTTAATTAGTAGAAATTCATACAGAATTGTAGGCAGGTTTTCTAAAGCCAAGCAATTGTCTATTTAGATACACTGGAATATGAGTAATTAAATAAAAAGGAAAAAGATGCAGACATTTTCCTGGTTTCTATCCAAAACCCTAAACTAGCATTTAAGCCATATGATTACTGAGGATATTTCCCTTTAATATACATGCTAAGATTTCTCCTGGATAATACATTATCTTTACTTTCATCATTAGTCTTCCCTCTATTCTTTCAATTATCCATGAATTAATTAAAAAAAAAAAAAGAAATCACACAAATCAAGACTTTAGCAGAGGTAGAAACAAATTTTTCAGAGACTTCCCTTGCTGGCTGATAACTGGGAGAGATTGTGTTCAGACCATCCTATGCAGGGTAGGATGCCCAGAGAACTTTGCCTGGACAGAACTCAAAAGTAGCTTCCCTCTGGTTTTTGACATATGGCTGCTGGAAATTGTGGATTCTGTCCTTCGTTGAAAATGTGAGAGCTTTACCCACACCTGGCTGCGAAACTATTTTCAGGGAGAGCTCCCAGGCTACAGTCCAAACTACAAAGAGGCTCAGACAACAAAAATCCAGACAAAAAAAAAGGTTGCAGTCACCTTGGAGACCAGACAAAGGCTGGAGGATTCTCCCTCTTGTGTGACTTTAGGTACTACATCAACTGAATGTTTCAAGTCTGTTCAGCACAAATTGCTTTCCCAGCCAACTACTCTGAAATGAGAATGCTTACTCTTTGGGAAGATGCATGACTTTATTTATACAGGTACACACACAGGTACAACACTCACTCCTCCTTGTGTCTGTGACACCAGGTATTTCTTTTATCTCTGTCACGCTACTTTCAAGATTTGTTATGATGAGATTCAAAGCTCCCCCCGTTATTCAGGCATCAGTGTCATATAAGTCAGAGCAGAAAGAGCCCAAATTTACCTTTTTTGTTGTTTTTGTTGTCTTCAGTAACATTAACAATTTTTTTTTCTCAACTTGAGGAAATTCAATAACGTGAATAAGCTTCATAGAGTGTGTTTCTACCCTCCCCTCCTTACTATATATCTGCAGTTGCCTAATTCTTCCATAATATACATATCTGACAGCATGTCCAATAACACATTAAAATGCCACTTTATGGTGACATCTATGAATGACTCCATACATTATGCAGCACTCTAGACCTGCATATACCCTGACAGCAAAATCAAGTATTTAGCAACACCAAGTGCTGTTCCCTATTTCTCATAATAGATCTCATGGCCTGAATGCAACAGAAGCTACAAGACTGTGTTAATATTTTATGTTTCATGCTATTTTAATTATATTTTAACACATAAAACTTAGGTCAGGCAGAGAAAAGCTGGAGTGATTTTTTCTTACTACTACTACTACTACTACTGGGTCAGTGAGAGATGAATGAATGGAAACTTCTGCATTGGCAATTAGCAATCCAGGCAGCCATGAACCAGAAGCAAGCTCCTAATTAACATTACTTGTTCCTGCTTTTTTAAGCAAGGTTGCACAGTTACAAAGCACAAGCACAAGAATTATTTGGATGTGCTGTAGCTATAATAAAGGGGACCTGCAGAAGATACAAGTAAATAAAACCTCTCAGTCTAATCAAGTTGTGTTGGTAGCCAGATCTGTAACAGAACAACTGTAAAGTCAATCCTGTTTTCACTTTTTTATGTAAGAAGGAAAAGCAACAAACAGGTGGCTACTGGATTCACTGGGAGTCTTGTCTCACCTCCTGGTAATTGTTCTGGTTAAATGAAAAGTTAGAGCTTATAAGGTTAAAAACTCTGTAAGGGACAAGACCAATACTCTGCAGAACTGAGACTGAGTCCTAATAGGCAAAATTAGTTTAATACAAGTGACCAGTGCCATGAGTTACCACTACTTGGATCTTTGTTTGCAACAAACAACTACTATTTCTGCAAGTAAATAACTACATTAGTTCAAGACCCAACAGACACTGCTCACGGCAGGTATGGAGAGTGATCAGACCAGCACTGGCTGATACCTGCTAAGACCCAGAAAAAAAGGCTATTCATAGTTGACTGGTCAAAAATTGAAGCTGCTGGTGCCTACAATGAGCCTTCACAATAAATAAGGTGCATGCTAAGCAGACTTCTGTAAGAGCACTAAAATTCCTCCATCCATATGGCAATGTGCAGTAACCAAGCAGAACACAAGCCTAGCATCCACATCACTGAAAAGCCTCATATCAGAGGCAGTACAGTGGCATGAAGCACAGAAGACTAACCCTGTTTTAAAAAAATATCAGATTTTCTGCTGGTGAAAACCCTCAAAGTATTTAATTCCTGCACCAATAAATAAGAATCTAAAATTAACAGCTGCAGCTAATCAAAATCACAATAAGAGAACAGTGGGTATTGAGGGCTGCACAACTCCTCTGTGTAATAGGATATTCTCCTAGAAGAAAAGAACTCCATACTATTTAAAAGTGCTTTATGCTTTCAGAAACTTAAAAAGAAAAAATAGCCTTAATTTATTGCAGCCTCCACATCCTTTAGAATAAGAACATAAGTCGGGAAACTTCAACTATCTTTTTTTCAATTCCTATAAACTTCTTGGTGCTAGGAACTGTCTTTGATGTTTAATCCCATTAACAAAAAATGGGACAAACACCTATTTAGGCCAGTTTCTTCCAATTCAGTTGGCATTCTGTAAAACATTTCTACTTCTTCATCACTAAATAAATGCTTTATTGTGTATGTGATTCATTTAGAATTAAGTATCTAAGCCCAGCATTTGAGAAGATTTTGCTATTACACATAGGAAAGACCCTTTCTCCCCTCAAAATATTACCCTGAAAGAGGGAAGGAAAAAAAGAGAAACTTTCAGAATATAATTCTTTCTGTCAAATAGGTAAATCCAGTTGTGCTGGAGTAACCACAACAATTGCTCCCTGCTCTCCTTTATCAAGGTCCTGGGTCTCAATAACTCTGAACGGTTGCTACCAGTGACTTTATTCTCAAACGCACTCTTCTGTTTGGTGGGTGCCCTCACCCTTGCCTCTGGAAAGCCCATTTTGGGTGGCTTCAACACACCAAATCACTAATTCATATAATAATTAGTTTCTATTTGTTTAAATGGAGAAGCCTCAACAGTCTTGATGGTTTTTCCCCGTATGGCCTGCTAGCAATCTTCTTACTATGTTTTCTAAATGCCTGTGTCTCTGAAGTTGATGAAATCAAGTTCCAGTTATTTACATCTTTAAAAAGAATGTATAGAGCAACAGCTGTGCATCCTATCCCAGAACAGAGGAAGCAGCATTTGCATATCATACAAAGAAACACTTGTGCAGCAGCACTGCAGGCACCAGCCTATCACACTGCACTGCAAGAAAGGTCAAGTAAGCAGAGAACAGTTTCATATGAAATAAAACGTATGACTGATCTGATTTAAAAGTGGCCCCATAAACTCAGTGCACTGGGAATGGCGAAAAGCCACAGATTTCATCATCCTGCTGGTAACAGTAGAAATTTGTCAAATACTTGATAAAGTTAAGAGTTGAATACACATCACAGTGCCCAGGTAACCAATATGAAATGTGATATGGGAGAACTGAACTGCTTCCTCTTGAAATGGACCCTCTGTGAGTATTAACAAAGACAAAATTAGAAACCTTTTGGAGCAAGCTTTTGTAGAGCAACTGAAATTCAAATAGAAATAAATGTCATGGTGAAGAATTAAGAGTTTTTTCATCTACAAGATCTGAATCAACAAAAAGAGTCTCCTGGGTTTTGGGTAAAACATCATTTTGATGAAATTAAAGCTGTGTGTTTGTGGGGGAAGAGTGGCACAGTGATTTTTACACTCTTACCTTTTCTGATTCATAAGTAACTCTCTATGGAGATCTTGATGATTGCGGGATGATTTCACAGGATTAATTAATTTCTGAGGTCTAATTAATTCAGGATTGTCATCATCTATATAGTCGGGTTCCGCCATAATCTTTCTTGGAATGGGATATGGATCTTTGGGTTCAGTGTCCTTATTAACAGTATCTGTAAAAGAGGGGAAAACCTGCAGTAAATCTATATTGAAAGGCCTGTTACAGATGTATTAAAACATAAAGGCAGTATATTACATTACATTGGTAATACTGAAGCTTTTCCTAGATTAATTTCATCTGTAGTAAGTAAAGGCTCCCAGAGCATCAGTAGCATCTTTTTAAATAGTCAGCAATTTCATAATAACATCATCTCCAACAACCTTCATCCACTGACTTGGAGACACAGATTCCTGTCCCTTTTAAGAACAACTAGACAAATAATTTAGGTTAAAGAGCACTGTTGATTTCAATAAGACTACTCAGATGAAGTGTTTTTAGATCAGCAATAGGGAGAACCTAAAGACATTCTAAATTCTAACTATATTAAATACTACAAATGTTTTCCAAACCTATGCAGAGCCTCATTTTCTGCCATCAGTATCATGCCAGCTATGAGGAAAACACAGAGCAAAAGCTTTCATGTGGACACTGTCAGATCTGCAGTTGCTGGGATGGAGGACAGATTTCTGAGTGGAAAGGTAGAGGAGGAAAAGTGGGGTGAGGTTGCTCCTTAAAGGTCATATTTCACTCAATGAAAATCCACAGAAATCCACTGATCTCAAGTCTTTATAACATCTGGAAATGTAACATATCTATGCACCAAATCACAACACTTTTAATCAACAGTTGACAAGTAAACAACAGTTTTCAAATAATTTATTTGTGGCAATTCATGCCCCCTTCCCTTAAAATGCCTCAGTCACAAAGCTCAGCATCCACAACAAAGCACTTCCAGAGCAGTTCTGCCTCCATTCACTGTTGTGGAAACTAACCCACAGTATCTGCAATTACCCATTTGCTGGAACACAGGCCCCTCAAACAGACCCCCAAAAAATAATCTCACAGCATGTGGGTTTACAGAGATGAATCAATGGAACATGAAAGAAAAGACCAGAGACCTCCCATTAGCCTGACTGGCAGAACAGCTGAATGCTGCACACTGCATGGTCTAGGGCTGGGAGACAAACCAGAAAATCACTGGGATTTGCTGTGTACTTTCCAGTAAAAGCTGAACATGTGCTTTAATTTAAATGCCACTGTTACCAGTCCTTTCCTCCCTCTCTCACTCCACAGGCTGTAAAACCTGTCTGAATTCAGTCTCAGTTTAATCTCTAAACCGCTTTCCTTCATTAGGAATCCCACCTTGTTGCTTGAGGTCTGATTCAAAATTCACTTGATACAGTGGAGATTTCCACTAACACTTCAGCAGGTTACTACTGAACAGTGCCACCATCACCCTGCTTGGGATGCATGTGCACTTACAGACGAAGATGTAACAAGACAGCACTAAGTTTTCAGCAGATGTAGGGAAGCCACTCTGGATTTGAATGTGTCCAGTGGATCCGGCACAAACCTTTCAGCTCCTGTGTTTGAAGGGATGATGTGAATTGTGTTTTAAGTGTTACATCTCATACAGCAAGTTTCTATGGAGCAAATATGGGCAAATCCAATGAGAAACAGCTTACCAGAGTGAGCCACTCACACAGTGGCCCCCGTATTAGTTTTTCAAGGCAAGTTTACATGCAGCGTTTTTAAACTCTGTAGGGGTGCGAGTTCTCAAAGGGACCTCTGAAACTAATACAAAAATTGCACACAGTTCACAGCTACGTAAGTATATTGCTGTACATGACACAAACCTGTTGATCATGCAACAAAAATACCTCTTCCAACACCCCTTCATAGTCCTTCTTGCTTCAATCAAGCAACCAGGTATTATCACATGTGTGAAATACACCGGATCATTGGAAAATTGAGGTCAGGAGAAACGTGGAAAATTTCCATTCCAATCTTCTGTTGAGAACAGGAACAGATACAAGTTCACACCAGGTTGCTCAGGACTTTACCCATTCCTCCGGTGCTGCACAGACTCTCTGGGCAACCTTTCTCATCTGCCTTCATGGCAAAGTTTTCCCTTACACCCATACGAACCTCTTGTTTCAACTCACACCCATTGCCTCTCACTCTCCAGCCATGCACCATGATGAAGAGCCTGGCTCCATCTTCTCAGTAATTTGCTCCAGGCATGGGGGGCTGCTGTTAGGTTCCCTCAGTCCTGCCTCTGCTTCAGGCTAACCCAGCCCAGATCCCTCAGCCTCCATCACAGCACCTGTGCCCCAGCCCCTAGCTCATTTTGGTGGCCCTTTGCTGAGATCTTATCTCAAATCCCTGGCTGTCTAATTGAACGCCATTTTAAAAAAACCCCAAGTCCCATAAAAACCCAAACTGCACATAACAATTAGCACCACACTGTGAATAAAAAGTGTATACAAGTCTATTCTCTTTACCATAGACAATGAATAAACTCGGTATAGTTACTGTATTTTTAAATATTTTTTTTAATGAGGTCACAACATTCCATTATTCCTCAGTGTTCATGTCAGGCTTATCACAACTAAAACAACTCAAACATTACATATCCAGCCTCCAACCAAAACAAACTTGCTCTTCAATATTTGGTTTTCTGTAGATCTCTATCAATTCTCTTGGTCTGCCAGGGCTGAGAGTCTTCTAGAAGGTATTTATCATTGGCAGCTCTCCATAAAGTAAACCTGAAAAAATTACCTGCTGCTTCTTCAAGACAAGTCTTCTGTTTGCTTAGGAGAAAATTTAAACCACAGAATTACCCTTCAACTGTCTGTCATAAACAATGTACAGTTTTTCTAACTTGAACCCCTTAAAAACAATTAAATAATTTCTCAGAAAGTTTGATGTCATATTTGCAGCATGCAGGTTTGCTTTCAGCAAGCCCTTAACATTGTCTGTTCTTCTTTATTCTGTCCCATCTCTATTTTTAAAGACATATTCAACTCCAGAGGTCAAGAATCATGGTTTCCTAATGTAACATGAACTCTACTACCATCAAACTTGAATGAATAAAACTCCCTTGGGAACTGAAGACACTTTAGGTGGGTGATTAAGCAGTAGATTACTTCAGCTAGGATTTCCAAATGGAACCAGCAAAACAGGGCACCCAGTTTCCACTCAGTGAACCCTCTCACACCTTCTGCAAACCTCAGTTTGGCTGGAGGCCACCAACCCAGTCCTGCAGATTCATTGCATAATGCTAGACACAAACAATAAAATTGAGATAGTGTGATTTCTACCCACTCCCTTTCACAGCAAACATTTACAAAAGCACAGGCAAGTTTCACACAGAAAGTAAACTGAGACACAAAGGGATCACCACGCAACAGCAGACAAAACCAGAGCTGGCAGGGTAGCCCCAGAGTTTCATTCTACAATTCAGGCTCACACCAATAAACCAGTCAAGCTCAATGATAGAATCCCTTAAAAGTCCTTAAAGTTTAATCAATGTTCAAGCAGTAACAATTAAAACAATATTAATTCCATGAGTCTCTAGTGCTCATCACCACAAAAATTACAGCCCATAAAGCTGCTTTCAGATCATCACTAGGTGCAAC